TTTTCGCCCCCAACTTATCACTTACGTGCCATGTCTAATTATCGTCAAACCAAACTCTCGTGTTGTAATGCAACTTAACTCAATTATTCCCAAAGAATATTCATTTATTCTCGAATTTGTGTTTTTATTCTTAAACCAATTTCCCTCTGTCACTTCTGCTTTGCGAAATAAAGGGTTATGCAATTTCAGCACTTAAGATAGCTCTGTTGTTCGCCATGATCCGATGAGTCAAACCATTCTCGTCCAATTTTCATCCCCCTAGAGGATCGGCTGACACCAAGCTAGACATGAAATAACGATTTGTAGATTTTGTTTAGGAATATGATGGACAGCTGATGTAACTCTCGGAACAATATTATAGTCGTGGGGATACAATAGTAGTAAAACGGAGACGGTTCCTAAAATACGGATTAAGCAGCAATGCAGTTTAACTTGTATTTATGTCTGTGTTTTTGCTTTTTGTTTCAGATGATATGTTGTAGCAGATGTTGCTTGGCGACAGTCTGAGAGTATGTTGAGGTCCTGTATTTGTGATATTGATGAAATCCCTCAAAGCAAATTTGGAATATACTGCATTAAATTTTTTTCTAAAGTTTTAATTCTAGTGAAATTATTTAATGTAACAGCAAATTCATATTTCAGGACACTGAAAAATACACCCAAAAGCGTAATGTTCCACATAAAATAAAGTTTTATATATACATATGTTCATGGCATATAATTCACAAAGTGATAACATTAATGTAAGGCCGTATGTCCGTACTAGTATAAACATGTATTCATTTATTCACAATTAATTTCATCAAGTATTAAGACACAAACAAAACTAACACAATTTTCCGGCTGAAATTTTACAGTCTCACTAATGCGGTCAATTTATGAAATCGACAACATCCCGTATTGTTTCTATTTTAAATTTGGAATGGTAAAAATCTTAATTTTGTCTCCGAGCAACCAAGACACGGTAACAAAGTCTCGTGCGTTTTTGTTAACAACAGCGACGCCGCCAATCAATATGAAACATGCATCTTTTATAAGAACGACAAGACAAAGCCTGGTCTCACGTGCGCCACTTTTAGCACGTGACGTAACAAGACAATAATGGCAGCAGACGACAGCCAGGACGCACAAAAATCTAAGGAAATTGGATCGATTTTTTTTCAAATGTATTTCCAATTCTCTAAAAAAAATTTTATTGGAGGGGGAATGATGTCGATATTTTCGAGAATGGAACAAAATAGCAAAAACGGTTATCAGGTCATTATATATTTTGTGACTAGTCTGTATTTCACACCAAAAGGCTTTAAAATTATCTAAACATTTCCATAAGTAAATTTATAATATATAGAGACCATCATAACCAACACGAGGGAATCATAATTTATATTTGACAAACTGCTGACTCTGTATGACTGTCGAGGGCCTGGCCGAGGCATCCTGAACAGGTCTTGTGATGCATTTGTAATCTTAAAGTATTTTTTAAACTTTCCAGAAGTATAATAATACATCGTTGTTAATTTAATCACACCATCACAATCCAGTTGTGTTATTTTGTGTAATTTCTCCTTTTACGAAAGAACCATCAACTTCAGTCCCAGTTTGTGCCAGTTTGTGTCTCGTGGGAGACAAGTATAATAGTATGACTACTTTTGTGAAAACTGTGCAACTTCGCTATACAATAATATGGTTAAGTGTCTGCGGTAAATATCGAATCACATTTTGAAACGCATGTCTCTCTTAAAGTTATTCTTTGGAATAAATCCTTTTTTGTAACACATTCACTTCGGTCAATGTCTGTTATTACAAGACAGTGTAAGTATAACAAACAGAGGCCTAATTTTGATCAGTTTCAGAAGTCTGAGGTAATATTTCGTTCAGAAATGCACTCTCCTTTTATAATCAATTTTAATTTTTTTCGACTGCATTTTCCTTTGTGTAACACGCGGCGTGCTGCATTTTGACTACAATTTACATTTTCCTTGAAATATCTATATATCTGTTATACATGTAGTGGTATTCCTTCCAATATTCCAATAACATCTTTATCCTCTAACTACCCAGAATCGTTAATCTATCTCATAACATTAAAGTTTCCAGTTTACAGATAGGGTGATTATTCCAAATTATCTGAACAGTAAAATATTCGTATCTAGTGTTCACAATAGAGACCTGGGCCCGTATTCATGAAACCGTACTCATGCTCAAGCATGAAATTTATGCTCAAGCCTTATGTCTTGTTTAAGTTAAAAAATAATAAATAAAGCTGATTTTGCCAAAGATTAAAAAAAATATGAAAGGATTTCAAGTCAAAGTTATAATGAATGTTTATATTTGACATTTGTATTATTTGATATGATTTAGGAGAATTATCAAAAAGTTTGCTTGAGCACAAAATGTATGCTTGAGCATGAAAATAGCTTCATGAATACGAGCCCTGCAGGTTTTCTACTGAATGGAAACATGTCAAACTTAAACAGAAAAGTTTGGAAATTTATCTTTATTTAATAGACCAACACTTTGAAATGGTTTACCAGACAATGTTAGGCAGTGAAAAACCTGAATAGTTTTAAATTTGAATGCAAAAAAGAGATGTCCAACTTTTAAACATAAAAACTCCTTTGTCTGGAAGTTTTAGAAGATCTCATCATCGTAACAGTATTTCATTATTGTATTTTAAGTAACTCGTAATTCCTGCTATGTGTGTAATATGTTTTATACACATTCACGATGCAATAACTTATTTCATTTAAACGTTTTCTGAAATGTATCTCACTGTGTTATTTATATTTGTCAGTGATGTTTCAGTTTTATTGACTGTAAATATTGTACATTTCTTATTTCACTTATAAGAAGATTATTGTAAAATCGAAATGTCATTGACTATGAACAAAGTCTTTCATGCGTACATAGCTAACAGACAACCGGCAATACTAGCGAACATCAAACATATATAGCTTCATATCGCACAAGCGAATGGAAATTCATAACAGTTCCCCAAAGTCTTGGATAAAAATATTGACATTGGTAAGAAGCATCTCTTAAATATTGAATTAATTGAGATATTTAAACACCACGATTTTGTGAAGCAGAATTGTTGCTAACAGGAAATGAATAGGGAAATTGAAATCGATTATCAACAGCATGATGGAAAGTTATCCGTGTTTGGTTTCATTCCTAGTTGATATAGGCAGCTGATGTAGAAGAGCCGGTGGTGTCCTTGATTCCCAATACTGTTGGGATTATACAATGGGCATGATTTATAAATTTCTTGTTATTTAACTACGAAGGTAATGTAAAAATACATGTGATCTGTTCTGAAAAGATTTTTCAATAAATTCGGCACAAGTCGACAAAGAGACGAATATAGCCTTGCTAATAGTCTTTTTGAAGATATTACCAACAAACTCTACAAAGATGTTGTCACCAGAAACTCGATCATTGTTATGATTTCGTCCTCTGTTTATTTCTTTTTGACTTATAACGAACTTATCAGTATATTTACAACCATTAATTTGTACCTCTGTTTACCTTTCTTTAAAAAATACCCCAAAAAAAACCGAAAAACAAAATGTTCGTGAAACCTAAAGTCCTTTTTTTCAGTTTGTAATAGGGGTGTGGTAGCATACAGAGTGGAAAAGACAATTGATCTTAAAGAATTTTTTTCAGGAGGTGGTGATCAAGATAGGTCCATGATACTGCAAGTAAGAAGAAGTCCATTCCTGGATATAAATGGTACCATAGAAATGGGTCCATTTAGTACAGGTCATTTTTTTGTATCTAAATAAACAAACAACGTCAATCTTATGAAAGAAGAATTTAATTACATACACTTTTTGGCATCAATCTGATTAAAACACATATCTTAATTTACCACTCCAATACTTTCTTTAATGAATGGAAAATATTGGAGTGGTAAATTATGATCTGTATTCTAATCAGATTGTTTTTGACATAATACTCATGTATCATTACTATCTTTGTCATTAACACAACATCCACATTCCTTTGAGGTAACTTTCACACATTATTACATATTATAATCATTCTTGATAAATGACAAAATATTGACAAAGAAGCTAACAAGATGGAATGATAAAGGGCACAAAGAAAAATAAATGACACACTTATCCATGGACTTTAATCTAATTTAGATGTCAGACTTCTTGGTAACAAATCTATTGATTAACTTACTATGACAAAATATGAATTTGATTGTGACATTTTTGTTTTCATGAAGAATTTCATAGCAGTTCCAATTCTCGATGACATACTTTGAAAAGCAGCTTAAATATGGACAAGATATTGCCTACATGGTAATTTCCTATTAGAATATATTTTGATTTTCAAATTAATAGTTATGCTATCTGATCAGATAATTTCTAAAATGAAATCAATTTTGGAATAAACATAACATTGTATTTTCCAAAACTTACATAAAGATTATATTTTATTTAATATTATGAAAAAGGAAAACACAAACATGATATATCACTCAATCATAACTACAATTACACACACCTTGTTACCTTATATCTCAAGCAGGATACAAAAGGATATGTTTTACCATTGTCATATCATGAACAATGGGAAAAATGCATAATTTACGATGTTTCTTTACTTCTTAATGTAGAGCGTTCATATTGTTTTGGTGTGTACACAGATGTAAGCCTTTCTTATGGGTTATATTTTTTCTGTACATTCCAAAATAACAAAATAACTGAAATTCAGTTTTGTTCTGAGTGTACTACTGGTTGGTGGAACACTCTACCTTAACAAGAAAATATAAGTTTTGCTGCAAAAAAAATATATGCATCTGCATTCTTTATTTTAACTTTTATCATTTCCTTTTCAAACTTCCAGATTCACTTACACTGTGCAAAACTGTAAGCAAGAAATAGTACTTAGAGTTGATGATAAATTCACTGATGAAAAATCTTCAATACATAAATCTGGATGAAAAAACAAAGTTGTGCGGCTAACTTTGGCATTTCGGTATATAATCACCAGTAGCTCATCACAGTGATTGTTCCAGGTTGTTCAGGAGAGGCTGTAACCAGTTTGGTTTCACTGACCCACATCAAATGTAGGCGGGTAGGGTTTCTATGCACCATATTCAACAGTTTTCCAGTCTGGAAAAGAATACAGACTTTTTCTTAATCATCTGTATCTAATAAGATTTGAAATATGTGTCTGTAGTGTGGTAACAATTAAATGTCATATTTAATCTGCAGTTCTAAATGTCATGTCTAGCCTGAAGTGTAGTCGTAAAAGTCATATCATATCCAGCCTGGAGTGTAGTCCTTAATGTCATATCTAGTCTGAAGTGTCATCCTTAATGTCAGGTCTAGTCTGAAGTGTCGTCCTTAATGTCATGTCTAGTCTGAAGTGTGGTCCTTTATATCATATCATAAATAGTCTGAAGTGTGGTCCTTAATGTCATGTCTAACTTGAAGTGTAGTCCTTAATGTCATGTCTAACCTGAGGTGTAGTTCTTAATGTCATGTGTAGTCTGAAGTGTAGTCCTTAATGTCATATCTAGATTGTAGTGTAGTCCTTAATGTAATATCTAGCTGGGTTGAAGTGTAGTCCCTAATGTCATATATAGTTTTTAGTGTAGTCCTTCATGTTATATCTAACCTGAAGTGTAGTCCTTAATGTCATGTGTAGTCTGAAGTGTAGTCCTTAATGTCATACCTAGTCTTATGTTTAGTCCTTAATGTCATATTGAGTCAGTACTCTAGTCTTTAACATCATATCTTACCTGAATTGTAGTGAAGTCCTTAATGTTATATCTAGTCTGTAGTGTAGTCCTTAATGTCATGTGTAGTCTGAAGTGTAGTCCTTAATGTCATATATAGTTTGTAGTGTAGTCCTTCATGTTATATCTAACCTGTAGTGAAGTCCTTAATGTCATATCTAGTTTGTATTATGGTAATAAATGTCTTATCCAGCTTGTAGTATAGTACCTAATGTTATATCTAGCATGTAGCACTGGACAAAATGTTATATCTAGACAAACAATGTACATCTGTAGTACCAAATGTCATATGTAGCCTGTTGTACCAAAATGTTGGTTTTTCAGACAAAACTATGCTATTGTAAATTTGTTAGTGAGTATCACACCTACCCTGTAGTCCCAGATAGCAATTTTTTTCTGGTCACCTCCACTGACCAATCGCTGACCATTGATATGGAGGCATCGTACAACACCCAAATGACCTGTTAGCACATGTAGACATTTCCCTAAAACAAAGATAGGACTATTCAGTATCATAATACCTAAAAGTAACTGGTGAAACTCGTCCACAAGGAATAAAATATACTACCTACTTATGGTGTGAAGCTGGTTAATGTTGAAAACATTCCTAAATGTGGTCTTGTTACCTAAAAGTTTTCCCACATAGACTAGTGGTTAGTGTAAGGGAAGTGGGAAAGTGGGTTGAACAAACAAACAAATGAATCAGATTCTACAATGTGCCACCTATCACAGCAGAAATGATTTTCTTAATACCTTTTCACAAATTTCTGGTTGGGAAAATCTCTTAATCCAAAAGTGAAAATGCACTACAGTTGGCAAGTCTGTATAAACATTCTGGAACAAACTCTGTCATCTAATAGTTTAAGAGAAAATATTTTAGGAATTTTGACATGTTGCTGCAGAGAAAGATGTTTACAGAAAAAGAAAATATCTCACATAGGAATTAGCAATCCTTTAAGCATATTTTTAACTTTCACAGTGACTGAGATACAATAAGTCATGCAGCATGTTCTCATGCAACATCTCACATTATGTTTTGTAACTGTCTTACAACAGGCAACATTTCTGGTAAAAACATTTTGAACACGGGCATGATTTGTGTTTTGAGATTCAGGGGATATTTCCTTCTAGCATGGTACAAATCTTGTGTATATATTTCACAACTAAACAAAGTGTGTTTTAAAATTCACAATGCAAATAAAAAAAACCCAGACAGAAACAAAGAATACAGTTTTTTTAAGGAACCATACCACAGTTTTTGCATTGTTCTGTTATAGATGTATAAGTAAGTAGGAGAGACTGACATTTGATTTGCTGGAGCAAACGTCCATCTAAAACTCTGTGCAACTTTGATTTCTGCAATCTACTTCAGTTAATATCCTTACCATAAAATGACCAGTTTTGAGATATTTAGGAGATAATATGTGCTGGCTAGAGTTTTGATAACTCTGACTTTGCTTTCAATACCTCATAATAATCACTTTTTGTCAAAGGAGGGGTATGAACAACGGACGCTTTTACTTTCTGCATCTTTTTCAGTTACTAGAAAACCTGATAACATTTTCTACACTGTGTTGACAGCTAATAAATATGATGGAATGATTTTACCATCAGCATTTTAGTACATGGTAGAAATAACTACAAAATCAACACATCCTGAATATATATTTTACTAATCACTGAAGTTAAGAAATAGAAGCTCTCCCAAATGATGAAATAAAAGCTGATTATGTTGATGGAAATCTATGGGGAAATCTTAGTTGTACAAGTTATATCAATTTGATGTTCATTTATTGGGCATTCCTTGTATCCCATAATACTACCGTTTATATATGTTTCCTTTTAAGTCTACAGGCCACCTGGTTAGATATGATTTAATTCTGGGCTTATTAAAATCATTTAAAAAAGAAAACCAAATTTATTTTATTTTCTAATCCACAAGGTCTGGAAAAGATATCAAAATTGTTCTCTATTCTCTTTTATGTTTTCTCAAGTTAAAAAATAATTGGATAAAATCTCTACACTTTTAAAGCACAAAGTAGAAAATATTTCTGAAGCGTGCATGTACAACCTTGTTTTAGTGAAAACGGAGTCAAAAGTATGGTACACCTCCAGTCAGTGTGTGTAAAATTAATTGATAATTATTGAACCCGTGGGAAACTCTGATTTAAGCAACACAATCAACAACAGGAAAAAATCATGGAGATCACTGTTTCATGTCAAACATGAAGGCAATGCAATGTCAAGGTCAAAATTTAAATGTTTTAGTAATTAAATGTCACCGTGACCTGCTGTAATGTTGATGATAGTGAAGTACATCTAATCATGGAATTCTGTGAAATTGTATGCAGCTAAATGTGAGGTCTAGCTACTACATGTAATTAGTATAACCTACATGTGGACACACAGATGAATTAAAGAACAAACAGACATCAAATGCGTCTTATCACATTGAAAAGGACACAAAAAACTGCTACTAATAAGAAAACAGAGAAGAATACAAAAATGATTTTCTAACCCCATTAAGCTAACAGTGCTTTAAACAAGATGAAACAGTGACAAAAACACATGGAATTTAAGCATAACATTACATTCTCCCCATTCATAGATTTTATCAATTCTTGTGAATGGGTATGAAACCTTAATACTGGTTTGTATCTGTTACTATATCACACCTGAATAAAGTATTGTTATCCAAATCAAAAATATTAAAAGGACATGGTGACAACTATTACAAAAATTATTAAAGTTTTTGTCTGTTTCATTTCCTACACACAGAATCTGAGAAGTAGATGTTAACAGAAAATAAGCTTTGATATTGTTACTACAAACAAACTAGACTCACTTGACATAAGAATATCTCCTATTTTACACTTGGCACAACTTCATCCGAGGAAATGAGGGTGATCAATTTCGGCCACTAGCAAACAATTTTTGGGAAACATTGTTGTGGTCTTCACTTTGTTTTGATCAGAATGCTCGAAACAATCTTGATGTGATAATTTGTGGGTGGAAATGCAATACCACAGCACACACTGCTGCTAAGTAAGATTTAACAATTTCATTTATTTTCTAGTGAAAATAACAACAAAAATTATTATGAATGAAATCATCTGATTATTTATTCTATGTCATTAAGCAACGTGTTGAATTTACACAAAGAAGTTATCAGAACAGATTCTAAACATATAATTGTCTCCCTTGTAGAAATGATATTTTAGAAAAGGTGTAGATTGCAATGACATACAAAACTTCACCAAACTTTTTCTGATTTTTCATTTTGCACATTCAGGTGCAACGGAATTCATCACTTTCAATATAAGGGAATAACATATTCCACTTGATCAATCAATTAAAACTCCCATAACAGCTTCCTTTCTATGTAAATCTTAAGATGTTAATATCACACACTTAATGGTTTGTCCATCTTCTAAAACAATTATCATAAATGAAAGCATGTTCAAATATCATGAATATAAATTTGCATTTAATAATGGCACTTATCTATCAATTTATTCTTTGTGATCATAATTCTATATATAGAGACTCCTGAAAAAGTACAAGTAGAATAAGACCAGACATTCCAGAAAAGTAAACATCTTCTGCTTCATCGCCGTCACCCTCCATGTAAATCTTGGTCAATCACAATAAGTAATGTCCTTTTCCCAAATTAGCACAAGTTAAAAACAGCGGAACCACCAGGCAAACTAAAAGGCTTCAAACATTTCTAGCTTCATATCACATACACACAGAATTTGAAATTTTCACAAAGACATCATTACAACAACCATCAAATTTCCAAATTATCTTCATTGACCTGTATCTCTTGAAACCCTGTGTTGTGAGTTTATCTCAAAGGCTGTTGACACCTCTCATGAAAATTGCCATTTTGGAAAAGCAAAGATGGAAGTATTCATATATCTAGAAATTATATCTAAGTTTTATTTCCAACAGCAGAGTACCCAGTAAACAATTTATTGTATTTTGAGAATCTGTTATTGTAGAGAGAAGAATTGTTTTCATTCTGTAATACCTCATGCAACATATAACAAATTCCTGTGGACATACCGCCAATATGAAACAGGAATCAGCTTGTTTTCAAAAGCAACCAACATTGTCATGTTGAAAAACTTAAATACGGTAGATGTTCCAAATTTTGGAAGTTAAAAAAACTCTGCTGTGAAAAAGCCCACAACATATTTTCTTTTTCAGACTTCTGAATATTTTTTTTTTTTTTTTTTGAAAATCAGCTCAGTATAATTTGTTCAGTAATCACTGTAGTACAATCAGAGTACATAAATGAGCATAAATATATAAGGTTTGTGGAAAGCAATAACTGATTGAGTTCAGCAATGTGTACCAGTGAATTTTAAAAAATTTGAACTAAAAACATTTGCTCAAGTGACCCTTGCAAAATAATTATGTCATGTAATATAGAAGACATGATATAAAGTGGTATTAACTGAAATTTTTGGAAAATTGACTGCTTCTTAGCAGAGATCTATGACAAAGCTTTTACAATATATATACTGTATAATTTCACTTGAAATTATTTTGATGTTTAAAAATTCTATCAAATATAGTCATTTTCTAGTATTTTTCCAAAACACAGACAATTAAGTTCAGATTTCTGAGATTCGCTTGTGCACAATTCTATCAAAACTTTGTTTATTTACAACTTACAATAACCACTCTTATAGGACCAGAGGGAAGCATGCCTAAAGAAAACGCACGTTGCTGGGCAAATGATCCAATACCGTTTTACACCCATTCTGGGAATCGAACCCTGGACCAAACTAAGATACCTAGGTGAATTAAACACAAGAGAGTGTTACCACTTCCCAACCTGACAACCCTGTTGTGTACAATTGCATGCTTACATTAATATACAATAACTGAATGTTAGTTTATGTATCAAAGCATCTTGATACTTTTTTTATTTTTATTTTTTATATTTTCAGAAACTTACCGTACAACATACCTAAAATTACTAACATGGGGAGGGTTGAAAAAAGAAGTTTAAATGAGAATATCACTACCTGTCAATCATCCTGTCCCAAGGGATGGGGCATCCTTAGCTTATGACCCCCTGAGGGCTGTAGATATAAGTGGGGGTTGGACATGGCCAATTTATCTCTAATGAGGCTACTCTACCGCTCTTAAGCAGTAATGACAGCACTAGACTTACATATGTATGTAATTCTGCCCAGCAGAAGATGCAGTATGACGTCTGCTTCCGTAACAATACACATATGTTTCATTAGCTTGAAAGTCATCTGGTTTTGTAGTGCAAATAGAGTATTTAAATAGTGCAGCAGTGACATGAGTTTGTACAATATGGCTATTCACAAGGGGGTCTGGGACAGACAGAAAAAAAACCAACAGATTTAACAGTGGTGAAAAAAATGTATGTAAAATAGCTACCAACAAGGGGAGCAGATTTAAAAACAGTAAAAACAATGAAACATCTATCTGAACAAGACATGTGCTGAAAATATAATCAGCAAAACGCTGTGAACACAGGAACCAAGCGGTGCTGATAGATGTATGGATCATGTTTTAGAGAATAACACTGATTCCTGCAACATGAATAACAAATTATCGTATTGTTTCATAGCTTTTTCTTATTCTTCTAGCTGTGTTATTTGAACTTTTATACAAGGTAGTAAGTGTGTTTTAAATATCTTAAAATCTTTCCAGAATTTCATACAAAAGTTCCATACATCTTGTTTTTACTTCAAGCTATGTATTTTTACTTTAAGCTATATAATGAAACATATCTATCCAGTGAAAGGTTTGAAATGAAAAAAAAAAACAAAAATTAAAAAAAAAGATTGCATAATTATGTTTTTATGAAATTATGTAAATTCAATCAACTGGTAAAGAATTGAACTGAAAATCAAATTTTATTGTCTCAGGAAGTCTCCTTTTGAAATACACAATTTTAATATGGGTAATTTCAGTCTTTGAAATTATCACAAATAAAATACTGTGAAAATTTGTCTCTAAATTTACCATTATATGAATTTCAGTGAATCAAAAACCTATTCAACTTACTGTTAAATATCAAATGGATTATTTTTTCAAATAATCATTAATCTTTAATTTCAATATTGCATCAAATCACAGGGTACACATTTGTTCTTTTATTTTAATCTTCGTTTCAAATGAAGTGAAAGATAATTAAGGAAAAAACCCAAAAACAAAAAAATGGAATGTTTTCACTGAAATCAATTTAATGGCATATGTTTTTAACAAAAATTAAAAAAAGATTGTAGTATTATCAAGGTTTCTGCATGAAAGAGTCGTAACATTACATGGTAAAATCTTAGTCATCATGATGTTTGACATTTATGGTGATGTATCATGTACCCAATCTGTAAATTTAATTCCGGAGATTTATCCTTGCTTCTATCTTAAACTATATACTGTGTAAAGATGGCTTCCTAAGCAGAACCTTCTGCTTCTAATTCTGATAGAAAGTTTCTTTGAATAAACATTTCCTTTCTTTCGTCAGAGGACTTTTAAAAAATTTACATCTCTTGTATATATACTAAAATCAAGTGTAAAACCTGCACACTATGTTCTTTGTATTATGCTGTGTAATGCATGTTTACAGTTAAAAGTGCCTGCTGGGAAATATTATGATATTTTTGCTCCATAAAAATACATTATGAATATTCTGCTGTGATATTTACATAAAACTTAGTCATGCAGTAGAAATAAAGATAACTTTCTTGATACAAAAACAATCAAAAAGTGCACATGTTCTAATACATACAATTTTCTCTGTCAAAATTATCTGCAGACAGAAAGCAAAAGAAGAAAATTTTTTAAGTTATTAAAACACAATTTGTATTTTAAACATACTTCTCTCCTAAAACAACTGCAGGGGTATATGTTATTTCTAATGGTATGTCAGGGATAACACAGGAGGGAACCTACTGCTAATGCTTAAGGAGGGGGAAAGGGTAGGGAGGGGGAGGAGGAGGAGTTCCTGGCCTTTCTCGGGAGGAACACATGTCTAATTTATACATGCCAAACACAGCTGATTTACATGAAGGAACTGTCAGATTATTTGCCTTCATCAGGAAACCATTCAGACACCCTTGTGTCCTGCTATATATGTCTCCCCTACTATTTATAATGGTCCAATTTTATTTCACTAATCTATTGTGATGTATTGATAAGATAATGAAACCAGATCATTCCCCCCCCCCCCCCCCCCCCCCCCCAACTTTTTTTTTCAAAATTTCTGTAGTTATAAGAATTATCATATGTTACCAGAAACAGGAGACTAAGGAGGCCTGCATCGCTCACCTGGCAAATTCAGCTTTCAAGTCATTTAACAAAAAAAAATTTCTGAAATAATATCCTTATTGGGTCCCAGCCTTGTGGTCAAACAGTAGTCGTATCTTAAGCCCCTGGTGGCTAAGAGCAATTACTTAAAGTTAGTTCCTCTTCACCCAAGAATGCTCAATAGTTTGGACCAGATGAGCAAAAAAGTCTAATTCAAACTGGTGTAGTTTATAATTGTTCTTAAAACCTGATTAAACATTACCAAACTAATATTCAGCAAATAAGCTCATTCCTGGTAAAGTGTAACAAATCAATCCATTTAATTCATTGTTCAATAAAATCACCACTACATATCATTTTATTGTCCTGTAATAAACCAACCTCCTCACTTTGAGTCAAAAGTGATGTTTGTTACCTTGGCATGCACACGTCCAAGTGTCTAAAGGTACATGATCACATACCTAAGTGTCTCAGTAAGATCAATATATCCTATATTACAAGTCCATGACTTATTCTGCATCTGAGTGAGACAGCTTACCTTGTTCATTTTTACCTGTGTGATTAAGACAGTAAGATAATACTGATTTACCAAAATGATCCCAGAGAGTCAGATACTGGTGATATTAGTTCAGTTAAAACATAGTAAGATTCTTACCTGAGTGAGACCACAGTCAGATGGTACTGATTTACCTGAGTGAGACCACAGTCAGATAGTAATGTTTTACCTGAGTGCGGACACAGTCGGATGGTACTGTCATACCTGAGTGTGACCACAATCAGATGGTACTGACTTACCTGAGTGAGACCGCAGGTGGATGGTACTGACTTACCTGAGTGAGACCACAGGTGGATGGTACTGACTTACCTGAGTGAGACCACAGGCGAATGGTACTGACACCTGAGTGAAGCCACAGGCGGATGGTACTGACTTACATGAGTGAGTCAACATTCAGACAGTATCAACTTACCTGAGTGAGACCACAACTGGATGGTACTGACTTACCTGAGTGAGACCACAGGCCGATGGTACTGACTTACATGAGTGAGACCACAGGTGGATGGTACTGACTTACCTGAGTGAGACCACAGGTGGATGGTACTGACTTACCTGAGTGAGACCACAGGCGAATGGTACTGACATACCTGAGTGAAGCCACAGGCCGATGGTACTGACTTACATGAGTGAGTCAACATTCAGACAGTACCAACTTACCTGAGTGAGACCACAACCGAATGGTACTGACTTACCTGAGTGAGACCACAGGCGGATGGTACTGACTTACCTGAGTGAGACAACATTCAGACTGTACCAACTTACCTGAGTGAGACCACAACCAGATGGTACTGACTTACCTGAGTGAGACCAGAGGCGGATGGTACCGACTTACCTGAGTGAGACCAGAGGCGGATGGTACCGACTTACCTGAGAGAGACCACAGGCGGATGGTACTGACTTACCTGAGTGTGACCACAGGCAAATGGTACTGACTTACCTGGGTGAGACCACAGTCAGATAGTACTGTCTTACCTGAGTGTGACCACAGGCGGATGGTACTTAATTGAGTGAGACCACAAGCGGAAGGTACTGACTTACCTGAATCAGACCACAGTCAGATAATACTGTCTTACCTGAGTGCGGCCACAGTCAGATTGTACTGACTTATCTGAGTGTGACCACAGTCAGTTGGTACTGACTTACCTGAGTGAGACCACAGGCAGATGGTACTGACTTACCTGAGTGAGACAACAGTCAGACTGTACCAACTTACCTGAGTGAGACCACAACTGGATGGTACTGACTTACCTGAGTGAGACCACAGGCAGGTGGTACTGACTTACCTGAGTGAGACCACAGTCAGATTGTACTGTCTTACCTGAGTGAGACAACATTCAGACTGTACCAACTTACCTGAGTGAGACCACAACTGGATGGTACTGACTTACCTGAGTGAGACCACAGGCAGGTGGTACTGACTTACCTGAGTGAGACCACAGTCAGATTGTACTGTCTTACCTGAGTGAGACAACATTCAGACTGTACCAACTTACCTGAGTGAGACCACAACTGGATGGTACTGACTTACCTGAGTGAGACCACAGGCGGGTGGTAATGACTTACCTGAGTGAGACCACAGTCAGATAGTACTGTCTTACCTGAGTGAGACCACAGGCGGATGGTACTTACTTACCTGAGTGAGACCACAATCAGATAGTAATGACTTACCTGAGTGAGACCACAGGCAGATGGTACTGACTTACCTGAGTGAGACCACAGGCGGATGGTACTGACTTACCTGAGTGAGACCACAGGCGGATGGTACTATCTTGGGACCCTGAGGCGATCAGCTCCTTATTATATACCAAGCAGTACTGTACAAACATAAACAAACAACTGTCATAGCAATGAATTAATACAGAACACTTTCACCATGTCAATATAACAGCAAGACTTTTGAAAACTTCTGCAATAACATTTGTTGGTCTAAATCAATGTATTGTATTTGATTTACATTAAGTATTGGCTACCATAAATATTGACTGCTACAAAATACATTTTATTTCCTAATCTGAAAAGACTTTGAATATGACAAAAAAATTCTAAAACCTATTTAAATATCAGATCTGTATTCACTACAATATATAAAGTAAGACTCATTAGAGATTGGTACAGACACAAACAAATCTCATTTGATTTTCAACTAACAATAACAGAATGCCCAGGAGCTTTATGGTCTATGTAAAGTAATCCATATCTGCAATACATGGGTATTCTACCTTCAATGTTTTATCTTTCCTAGGTTTTAATATGAAATTGTGCAGGTTGGAGGTTTGATACCATTCTCTATCTTTCCTCTATAATTGAATTGCTCAGTTATCTACCAGAGGCATAGTACTCCATGAAGACAGACAACATTTGTTTACAGAAGGTTGTCTATTTCAAAAGATACTGCAAACATTGATAACAAAATACCCAAAACACCAGTATATTGTAAGTACATTTAAAATTTTTCATGCATTTTATGCTATCACAGCCTATTCAGCACAGGAAAGCTGTGTGCTTGCATTTGTTTGTTCATTATCTTTTTTTTTTTATCTCTGATGTATTTAAATATATAAAAAGTATCTATGCAAAAGTTAGACTAGCTGTAGGGAAATAATCTGACTCTAAATTCAAAAATCATATTTCACTGATATAACAAAACAAAAATTTAAAAAAATAAAATAAAAAAATGAAAAGCAACATAAAAAATTATCATTTCAATGGTATATACATGCATAAATCAAAGATTTTTTTTCTACATTTTAACAATTGAACAGGGGGTAATTTTTTTAAGAAGAAACAAAGAAAAATTAGATGACTACAAATCACTGATACATGTGCAGTTGTTATCAACATAAAGCTTTTACAAGCTCTTACCACTTCTCCAGAATGCCCTTCTAATGTATGGCTGCACTCCCCTGTTTCTGTACTCCAAATTCTAAGAGTACAATCAGCACTACCACTAACGGTTATTTTGTCATCAAACTGACAACAACTGACAACTGAAACAAATTCAAGGGACATAATTCAGGGGAGACAATCCAGTAGGTGTACTTTTGTTTGCGTGATTTGGGTATGTAGTGATTATTACAATGAAATTTTAAAATAAAACCCAATATCATCCAATACAGATATTACAATATATTCAGGGCAAGGTGTCTCATCCAATATTCAGGTGATTAGGTACATGTATTAATTATACAGAAAATAAAAAAAAAACATTCAATGTTAGTTACATTGTACACTTTATTTTCAATCGACCAAGACTGATTAAAAAAAACATACTTGTACATGTTACCCTAAAGCATGAAATAAATTTATATTCAAATGTTGCAATTTGGTCTGTGATCAACAATGATCTCACAGTATAAGCAGAGGGAACTGTAAAACTTCATTCGGTGAACAAAGTCTCAGAATCTAATAGTGAAATATATAGTACAACTCTGACATTTGTACAGCTGAGGCATTTATAGCAGGTCTTATCTGGAAATTTGTTAAAATTTAAAAATAATTCTGTACCTACAAAATATACATCCTATTATATACATGTATATTAACCGAAATATTCAACTTAATTTCATTCTTCTTTTTTTTGTTCACATGTTCGCAGACAACATGCACATGTGTTACTGGTGTGTTGGAGGTGTGGGAGGTAGGGAAAAGGGGTTTCAGAAATACTCAGAAGCATGCAAGAGTTATTCCCCTTGTTATAGGAAAATGTGTTTCGTCTCCAAATACAGTGGTCATTGTTAATTGATACTTTGACACCTAAGTGCATTCACATCATGAGAATCAAGTTTTTTCAGTAGCAATTTAAAGTTGATATCTTGTGATATCTTGAACATGTTTAATAATTTACTTTCTGAAATAAATTTCAAGTTTCTTTAAAATAAAATTGTATTGTTTTTTTTATGGTGTCTTCACCTTTTTCTGAGTTTATTTATTTAAATTGATCTAAATCTACATTACATCTGGGTTTGTTGATGAAGCAGGAGAGCATCTCTGATTCTCCTTATATTTGCATGTTTAAATGTTTCTTGTGATTATATTTTGCTCTGGTGTTTTCAATCAAAATTTTGTATTACAATTTTGTTTACATCATATATCAATGTATTCCTCTTGTCTTGAGTATGAAACATATCAATTGAATAAGTAGAAAACAATATTATATTAATTTCAAACACACTATATACCTTCTTCATGTCCTTCAAACTTATGGAGCTGTTTCTCTTTTATTATGTCCCACATAAACATGGTTTTATCCCAGGACCCGGTGAGAACATAGTTACCATGGCAACACAAACACTGGAAATACAGGCATTACAAAACAAACAACAGCATGAATTTGGTGTAAAATACATAACAAAGAAAAGGTGTGGTACAACATGTCTTGTAAATCTATTGATTATAGGAAATCTTTTCTGAAAGCTTAATTCCACAGACTCAAACAGAACGAGACATAAGTACATCTATATGCATGCAAATACCTATAGTATCAAAGTTTAACATAGAAGTAAAAGATTCAAAGCTTAATAAGCAATGCAAAAACAGCAAATAAATGTTTGTTTCAATTTCATTTAAATTTAAATATTAATTTTATCAGATATCTTTTCAGAAAAAAAAAACACATTCTCTAACTTATCATATGACAGAGTATTTCAGCTCTGTCTTATTTACAATTTGCCAGAAAAAGAACAACAATGTATACACACTGAGTTATAATGTTGTGGATTCATTAAGGCCATTGACATGTTCACATATACATGTGTTCTTGCAATCATAAGGTCACACCACTAGCATTACTCATCACTCACGAAAAAAATGTTTTAAAATCATTATCAACAAAGATAAAAAAAGAAAAAATGAGTATGAAAGTAAAAACAAAGTTATTTTGTTACAATTCTGTTGTAAATACATATGTTGTAAAGGTAATGGAAATTATCTAAGTTGTGTCCTTAGCGGTGATACAACACTTAATCCCATATCTATAGACCATCAAGTGGAGCAGCCACTTTGACAGTGTACCAGTGTTAATTCTACACCAACAATAATTATGTCATAATGATCACAGATTGGTTGTCATTTATGTTACTGTAGATTTAAGTTTATATAGCAGCACTGTTGTTGAAATATGTACAGTATTATACAATCATCAATTTGTAGATGTAAATGGACCTCCCACATTATGTTCAGCAAAGTAATCACCAGCTACTGCATAGAGACCTGTCTTAAAAGGACTTAGACTGACTGTTAACAGGGTCATAGATCAGGCAAACAAATAAATATTGGTTCTGTCAACTCACTTACTATGGAATTCAAAAATAAAATAACAGCATACAAGAATTGAATGAATTAATGGGAAACAGAATTTTGTGTAATCTATCATGCAAAGAGTGAATGTTGCAAAAATATGATTCACAGATTCACAACTACAAAAGCAGGCCTAAAATACATGCAGTAGAGAGGATAGAATGAAATCTGAATACATGGAATATATATATAAGAGATTAGAATTTCTGCCTTAATACATTACTACATCTGTTAAAGGAATTGCGGTCAGTTCCATAACAAAGTTCCATAACTTATTGGTAATTTGTACTCCATAAAAAATGTAATTATAAATAAATTGCCAATAGAAGACAAGTACCTCAATTTCATCTGTATGATCCTTGAAGACACACTTCAATTGTCGATCGGGTAGAGACCACACTCTTACCGTCCTGAAAAAATTCAGATAAATCAACTGTTTACAGCACAAAAACATCTTCATTAGTGTCATAACATTTTCAGTAATAAGCTATGTTCAGAAAACATAATCATTAAATTATCTGTCAGAATTGTGACTGGCTGAGTTCTTACTATTTTGTATATTACATCATTATTTATGAATTTTCCGTTATCACTTCTTCCAATAACATTAATCATGATATCACAATAAATCTATGTGGGAGACAATATGTCAACATTTTCTATTTTAAGAGTAGAAAGTTACTTTTTATGAATATCTGAGTTCATTCAAAAGCATTAAAAAGAAATCATCTTCTTTAGTTGATTCAGTTGTCTGATACTAGTCCTAGCTGATCTTTCATTCATTACATATATAAATGTCCAGATTCTAGAGATGGTATGTTTATTTGTTATTATCTCCAATCTCCAACACATGATCATTGAGATTACAACTTTCAAGACATGTAACTTACAGGTATCACCATTTTTTTTTAGTTGATCACATGTAAAGTTTGACAGTGAAAAAAAAAAATATATATATATATATATATACATCCTCAATGATCCAAGGAGTGAGCTCAATAAAAATATGTTCTTGGTAATAGCTTATTAAGAATGTAACCTTTACTTGGATTTAGAAGTATAATCATTGTTTTTTTATCTTTTCGATTTTATAAGTTTGAAAATTTTTAATCTTAAGTAGTCAGAAATAACTTGTAAGTCAATAGTTTTTACAAAAAAGAATCTAATTTACATATGCCTTTCAGCTAATACATATAATGGCAGTCCTGCCTGCTAGCCCCTTCAAAATGTTATCTGTATTGATATAACAAACAACAAGAAAGTAAAAGTCAACTTAGTTTGATTAAAAACAGGGTTTCTGTATTCAGATATCACTGGTGAGTTTTAGTGACTTACTTGTCGGTAGCAGCACTGATCAGGTAACTATTACCCACAATGCCTAAGTGTTCAACACTTCCTGCATGTCCCATCAGCGTAAAGATGACCTGACCACTAACTATATCAATAACACGTATAGCACTGTCCGAACAGCCAGTGATGGCTGTGTTACCCTGTAAAAAGGTCATGTCAAGGTTAGAGACAGAAAAAGGGTTAAAATGTTTTCAAGTTCGTTAATACATTTAACTTAAGAGGGGAACATATTTAAAGTAATGTTTGAAGTAATGTTTAAAGTAATGTTTAAAGTGCAATTTTAGGTATATGATATAAATAAACTGTCCTTGAGGGCAGAAGTACTTCAACCAGAGTTTTGAGGTCTGAGGGGGATTTTTTTGTTTACCCTGCATGTCAATTACATATGTAAATTGTTCACATCATGAAATTCTGAATCGTGATCAAGGATGTTTTTGGTAAATTAGCTTTAACTTACAATGAATAATCACTTAGAAAAAAACACAATACACTTATAAAGTGCCTGGTTTAATCTGAAAATAAATGAAAACAATATACATTGTAATCAACTATAAAGGGACTAACAAAACATACACCTGGTATGTAAACCCCTTATAAAAAACAATCTTGTACCATAGCCAAGTGACTACTATTACTAATTTCTACTGAAACTGCAACTTGTGTGGGACATGGTGGGCCTATTACCTGGAATGGGCTTATTAATGGATAAAAACCACATTGACCTATCTGACAAAAACGAAATTAACCAACCTGACTATTAGGTTAACCATGTATATTACATATACATAAATTGAGCTTCTTATTCTATGCTAAAAGCATTATGACATGTTCAGAATCAGAATATGACCCAGCCCAAGTATGATTTATTTGAGTACTGCATGATTAAGCTACATGTAAATACAGTTTGAGTAATGATATAACCTACCCTGAGTACAAGTGCATTGATGCTATCAGAATGCATGTGAAGAGTTTTCACTTCTGTACATGTGGCTAGATCCCAGACTATGAATAGTTTATCATCACTCCCGCTCACAATACTTGTACCTATAAACATAGAATTACATCAAAAAACATGATAAACAAAATTTTACAGGTTCTAATATTTTCAGATGACAATTATATTATAAGCTGTAAATAATTCCTTTACTTGATTCACTCACTATATAGGTAACTTGAATCAAGTCTATTGCATTATAGTTATCACTAATCCACTTAATTTTGTTACTTAGGGAGTAAATCCAGTCTAGCTTTGAATCACATGTTCACATGTATGAGTGTATTATGATACATAAATACATGTTTATTTTCTTTTCTTACCATTACAGGCAATTGCAGACACTTTTTGTTTATGACCTCGTAGAATGGGGCCAACTGTGTAACGTCCTTTAGCCCAGTTTTTTGACAAGTGTTGTACTCGTAAAAATATGTCTTTCCATTTACACAGGGGAGATAATCTAGTATCCTCTGGAACTGAAACAATCAATTTACATATTGGTGATGAATAACCAAGCAATGCTCTTCCTTGTTATGGCATTTACGAACAGTATAAATGACAGAGCTTTGCACACAAATATAATTTTGCACAGCAGCACAATTCTTGCTTTAAAAATCAGTCATTTATGGTAAATAATAAACATCAACAATACGATTCAATGCTTTTATATGTATGTTGATATCTTATGCAGATTAAACCAATACCTTAATCAAAACTTTTTTCATTACCAACTGTACAGTCCATCCAGAGGAGCAGACATTTTGAGCAGTGTTATTTCTATATCAAAAGATGATGTCATAATGATCTTGCTTTGGTTTTCATTTATGTTACTGTAAACTGTAATAATTGTAATTGAAATAAATTTCTATTAAGTTTATGTATAAGTGGCACTGTTGTGCAAAGATGCACTTCTATATAAAATATATGTACTTATTATTGTACAGTTTTGATATAATCATCAATATGTACATGCAAATGAACGAAAGACAATATGGTATATGTACACCCCTGGTATTATAGAAATAACAATAATATAAAATGTGCATGCAGTGAGAACTTGATAAAAAAAAAGGGGTGAATCTTACTGAACAATTTGAAGATAGGTGAGGTAAGAGAGACATTAGTATCTTTCTGTGGCAGTGAGCATGCTTTGATGATTTCATTGTTGACTCCATACCTCAGCCATCCTTTTATCATACACTCATGTAACCTGTTGAGATCAATATTGTATAGTATATTGTAAAACAATAGTATCATATCACATACATGTAGTAAGTTAACAACAACTAAGTTATTATAAGTCTGTGTTATGTTCTTGTTATGTTATAGTTTTACTGCACTCTGTTGTGAAACATCGGCCCTTTAATGCCCTATGGTGATACTACACTGCTGAACATTTTAGTCTTTCATAATATAGAACGTTTTTCAGCATTGATTTATACGTAAATAGTTTTACATCATTTAGATATCAACTATTTAAAGCATACTTGCATAAAATCCCTTCATTTTTTTCTTTTCATGTGATCTTAAAAGAATGAGGTATTACAAAACATTTTCTTATGTATTGCAGGGATTTAAGTGGAAATATACATTGATGTTCGAAAAACATGTATAAAGTACAAAATATAAGCTATATAAAAATTTAGTGTTTCAGTTTTGAGCTATGTTGATAATTTGGAACAATACTTTATCATCACTTTTACCTAGTATTTACATTGCAAATGCAATAAACACTGGTATTTAAAGTTTACCATATAGAATCTTTATTTGCTGCCTCTCTCCAACTAACAGATACTTTAGAAAACCTTCCAATATCCTTTACATTGAGGAAGGATATGATTTTCTCCACCAGTTCCTGGGGTAACTCTTCTGTGAGATCCATCATTTGGTGGACTTCATCTTAAAATTTCCCATGATATGTCTCGTCTCCCTGTGTCAACAAATTTGAAAAAAAATAACATCGAAAAGTTACACATAATTATGAGTAGTAAATTTACAAACAGAACATAATCAAATGTGTAGCAGAATCGGACTGGGTCACACTGATCTGTTCTTTTTACATAAGAGGAACATGTAAATTTGATCCTGCAGTAAGCCCAAGTTCCCAACCCCAAATTTGTGGCTCAAATAAGGGCAATGATTTCCACTGAAACGGTAACAGATGTGGTTTGGCTTATTACTAGTCAATTATAAGCTTATTAACAAACACATAGAGTTTTACCTGTTTTTACACATACTGATTTAAGAAATTTCATTCAATTGTAATTAAGTATTCTCTTCAAATAATGATTACCCATTATATTCCACATGTTTATTTCTTTAAATCATTTGGACTCAAAGTATTTAGACAAAGGCAAATTGATAGTGACAGCATACATATTTTGTTAGAAGAACGTTAAAAACCAATTATGTCATGAGAAAAGAGGGAGGTGAGAACAAAATATCAGGAATCAGTTATTTGCTTAGTGTCTTGCTATTGTGGATTAAACATATCAAAAAAGATATGTATACTTTCAGATACAACGACCATGTTTTGGCAGAGAATTGATATCAATGCTCCATTTCCAAAATTTTGACGAGTCGTATTGCTAAGATACAGTGGGTTCTAAAAGAATAGTAAGTACCACAGGAAAATCATGAATCCAGGATCCTTGTATTAAGTTCAAAAATCATTGCGATGTCTTTGTTCAAAGTTATGTAATTCTGACTGTTGCACGTGATGTTGACAATAGTCTAGTCTTTGGATGAAATGCATAAAGTTACAGAATATGAAATGCAACGTGCGACATTATATTATACCATGGACTGTATATGAAGCAAGTTGAAATTTTGTATTGCTAACTGCAGGCAGTCATCTGGTTATCGTCATTGTGCTAAGAGAACTTCTAAGTCAAAAAGTGTAACCAATGACGCGGGAAGAACAGGAAATGGCGAACTTCGTAAAGGGGGATAACTGTAGTTTGACAAACCGGAAGTTTCGTGGCAGTGTCAAAAACTGACAGGATTTGATGTCTGAAAATCTGATTAATGTGATTTGTGATTGATTACGTGTTTTGAACGCATTTTGGATTATTCAGGTAAGATGTATTCATAGCAATATCACTAAAAAAATACTCGATATAGTGGAATTAACGACCAGTCATTTCAAGTTGCGAGTTGATGACTGCAGAAGTATCATCAGTGATATTGGCTCGTGTTATACTGTAGTACATCTGTAACAGGTGCATTGACAGGCTATACACAAAAACAATGACCTTGGCTACTGTTGAGGTGATGGGCATCGATGGCCACGTATATAGGAGTGGCGGGTTGACCACTGCAATATGGCCTGGTACATTGTACAAGTACTGGAGCACTGGCAAATCTAGTAAATTTAAAAGTGACAAAATATTAGCAAATTGATGCAATAATATTAGGTTATTCAGATTGTTAACTAAATAAATATATCTGCTCTTTTTTCAACAAGCTCAGGTTTAAATACATTTCGGCATGGGCCCTGTTTCCATGGACATAGAATCTGTTCGAAGTCTGTTATTTCTAAAACTGGCGATAGTTGTCTTGGACTTTTGACAATAACATTTTAGCAGTGTATATATATTGGTAAACACTGGATGGTCCAAGGATGAATGTGTAGCAAACTTTCTAAGTGACCTCTCCTTGGTCCTGAGGCTGGTTGTGTATGATCAAATGAATCCAAGTTTGTTATCACCATTTGTTGAGAAACACTTAATCTTTCTTAAATTATGAAAATTTCCAAATTTTCTCAATAGTTACATTTCACTCAGATGTAGATGATCTTTTGGGAATGATCAGAATAACAAAATGGCAGATAATCAAACTGTAGTCAGTCAACCTATGAATAATTGTAGACTTTGAGTTGTAATGTTTCAATCGATCGCTATTTCCTTAGTAGTAAGAAATTTTTCTCTCTGACATTTTATATGAAGATGCCTTATAGTTTAGCATAATTAATTATCAGAGAACTGAATAGGAGAAAACATGACCAAGAGGTGGCCATCTTGGATTTTGGTGGTTTAAGTTTGTTATTGCTATCTAATTCTTGAGAAGAATTATTTAATCATTCTGATAACATAATGAATTATTACTTTTTGCACCTATATATAGCTCTGCAATATTGTTACAAACTGGAAAAATAGCTGACAAGGGCAAATTTCAAGTTATTTATCTTCGTAGAACAATGATAAAGATGATACAATAGTTGGAGCCAAGTTCTTGTTAAATATGATGGTATTAATTTTAACTTTGATCATGTAATTATTTCAGTTTAACAATATGATGCGATCTCATATTATTTCATGAATTAACCAGGGTTGTGAAGGCTCAGTCAGTAGAGCAATTGCCTATGCAATCTCTGATGGAAATCAGAGGTGTGGGGTTTGACACTCTGTGGCTATCCAGGGTGGTTTGTATTTCTCAGGAAACCGAGAAACAGATCAATCTGTGCACACATGACTGATAACTTGATGCTTTACGCTATGACATGCAAAGATCCTCCCACATGTTATTCAGTTAGGAAGACACCAGCAATTACAAGGAGGCCCTGCCAGACTTAGTTCATAACTGTTAAACTCGGTATACAAACAAACATGAACTATATCTGGTAGTGGTAACATATGTGTAAATTATCAATCTTGTCAAATTGTGCTATATTATACAGGTCTTGATGCACTCACACTCTCTGACTAATGTAATATCATATAGGATCTTGAATCAGTGTTTACTTCAAATTAGATTTTATGAAACTAATCTTAAAAAATTTCATTTTGCAATCTTTGCAATCGGAATTGAAACTTCAAGACACATCTATAAAATGACAACAAATAGAAGATAAGTTTTTGTCATGTAACTCAAAATCAGATGTAAGCAGTCATTTTGTTGTGTCATTTACAATACAAGATGCAACATCAATGTCCATATTATGACCTCGCAACCAATTTCTGACTCGCACAGCCAATGAAAAACGATCCAGGGTTTATAACACTAGTGACTTATATACTAAATAACACATGCAGTGAACTCACAGGAAAACAGTGCACAGAGAACTCGAAAAGATCCCTGTCAATATTTCATTTTATGTATATATTAGACCACACTATGAAAATCGGGGAAATCCTATGCTGTATGTAAACTTTGAAATAACATCACTAAATCAATAAGCATCAATGTTTCAGGTAGTGCTGCATCATATTGATAATACCACTTTGTTTTCGTTATACTGTTATCAGCATAATTTTCTTTGTTTGAATTCATGATCAGCTATAGGCAGCATGTACTGTATAATGTGTACTGGTATTTTATGTTCTGGAATATTGAAGGTAATGTTAAAGTTAATGCAAATATTGTTTGTTATTAACTTGTATTTTTTACATTGTACATGTATGTACATGTGTCCATAGGCTAATAATAATTGCTGATCAATAAGTATGATGATGTTGTATTAAAGCAGACAAATTAGGGTCGATAGCAGCTGTATGCTTGGCAAGTTAACATTCATATTTGAGAATTTACAGTTCTCAAGAGATTTTCCGTAAAGCCTGTTAGACTGGAGCTCCTTGGTAGCTGGTCGTAAGTGTCAGAACACATGTCTTAGTACGTGATGATTTTGAATTAATACTCTAAAATAATATTAATGAAAGTTGTCTTGTAATAACAATTGGTGCATAAGGTTTTGTTGAACGAGGTATTAAATAGGCAGGAGAATATTTGGATTAGAGAAAAAAAATCTGCATGTAAATGTTCTTATCAAAATTAATTCTATAGGTAGGTTGATTTTGTTGTTCGAAATTTAAAAGGTAAAACATATCTTTGAGGAATAAATTTGTCAAGATTTATTCAAAGGAAAATAGAATTATGTTAAATTGAGATATATGTGTATACATGCAAAAGGATCACCTTGTAATGTTACATTAGTATTGTGTAAAAATTATGACAACTTTTTGTTGTGTTAATTTCAGATGTTTTCAGCTTTGTTTGCTTTCTGACCTTCACAAAAACGATGAACTGGAATTCAACATTCAATATCATGAGCCGATAACAGCCATATTGATGAAACATTTCCAAGACAACAAATCATCTACCATGCATAAAAGAGTGACATCTGACGTATCCCTAACAACCTTGTCTCTGCAGGCATGCCCAGTAAGTAATCTGTGTTTTAATTGCATATGCACTGTACACAAACAAGGAGATTTACTGGAGATGAATTCCAATCTGTTCATGATCAGGAAGTGTCTGATGTATCAAAAATTTTTATTACTGATTCGTGTTAAGAATCAATGAAATTGTGTAGAAATGAAAAGTAATATTTCATAAAATATAGGTTTATCTGTGTATTGATAAAGTAGATTACTGTAGATATAGACTACACATAAATACTTCTATTGGTTTTTTATTTATAAGAACTTGATAATAGATTCATTGTGTAGTCTTCAACGAGAATTTGATGTAAAAAAAGGAAAAGGTTTTTATCATAAAGGACACATTTTTTGTCCTCATGATGTAAAAAGTAATCATCAGTTTCTCAGCTTTAAGCCTGTTCATATGTGAATCTTGGTGGTATTATATACATACTATCTGTATAAAAAAATGATGACTATGATGAATCATGTTACTGAGTAATTAGACATTGATATGAGTTTAAATTACTGAGTATGTTGTAAGGATTTCTCTGCTGTGTGGTACCCAAATCCAGTACATACTCAGGATAATCATTAAAAGGCACAACAGAATTAACTTCTTACCTCTTGTTGCCTTGTTTTCCTTTAATTTGATATTAAGTTTGTTTTCAAATGAGAACAAGTGTGTTGAAGATGAAATTAAGAAATAACTTCTGAATTATATATACCTATCATTGTGTTCTTTATAGAAATGTTATTTGGCCTTTCCTACAGTTGTGTTGTATTTATTTAACAGGACTGTGGGTGTACTTGTAGAGGATGTTTTTCTAGCCACTCAAGGTAAACCTGATGTTTATTATCTTTAAATATCCAAATTTAGATTATGTTTTATAAAGAAGAATTTTGAAAATTAAAAAATCCTCTTTGTGATATGCAGTCCATGTGAAACATATTCAGTTTTGATGACATTGAAAGTTAGCAATTTTTTTTCCATTTATATAATTGGTCAGCTTTTTTTCTGTAGAAAGCATTACTTTTGTAACTTGGCATTGTAGGGTCAGACAGGATTTTCAAAGACTGAAATGTGGTACTTATATATAACAAACAGATCATGAAGAACTAGCCTTGAAAAACTTGGGAATTTATGTAAAAAGGGTGCACCACATGGTGAATTGGAGGATTTTCAGAAAAAGTGATTCCTTATGTATTGTATATTAAAAATTATCAATATGTAAATCATGTAACCAATATTTATATACAGATATTGACAGCTGATATGTATATTATAGATTTCTAAATCATTTTATCATTAAAGTTAACAGAACTGGAAGATGTGATGTGAAAGATGGATTTTATTTTTTCTACAAGTTTCAACATGACAGTTTTCTCTGCTAAGAAATGTGTCACATTTGAAATGAACACACCCACACAAATACCTCATTGTTTTAATGTAAATTTATAACAGACAGATAGGCTTAGAAGGAGCCTCAGTTTGCCCAGCAGATGAGCAACACAGGTAACAGTACATCTAGAGGGACTTTTTTTGGTGCTTTTAACACCTTCCAGCCTCATGTGTACAAATTAAACTAAAAACAGTTTGATATCCTGAGTGCACTTAGTAGATCCTTCAGATGATGTAGTGGAGGGATCCTTCAAACTTTCAATATATATTCTATACACATGTATTAGAAACTCTTTTCTTGCTTTCATAAACCATGTATTGATTATCTATCCTATATACCTTCACAAAACAGTCTTAACTCTTTTTTTACAATACATTTAGATCAAATACTCTATCTGTTCTGCAACAAGTCCTTTGGACTGCCATATAATATTTGCATCAAAAGTAAAACTGGAAAAAAAATTAGGATGGGCTTATTGACAGCCAATTAGCAAATGATGTAAAAAATTCATATAGTTAAAAAATAGGAACTTTATCTTATTAAATCTCATGTAAAGATCATTTCAAAGTGAATGTACAGTCCATGTGTATTCAATCTTTCCTCATTTTTGGAATGTTTTTCAGATGTTGCTAATTTTAATAACTTTTTTCTCCCAATAATGATCTGAATTATATAACAAAAAACAATGAAATAAAAAAAATCCAGAATTCCTTTAAAAAGATATTGTCAATTTTACAACTTACTTAATGCAACAATAACTGTTCCTAATATGTGTTATAATCAATAGTAGATAGTTTAGTGTGTATGCTTATGAAATTAAAAAATTAAATTATTAATTAAAAAAACTTGTGTTTTATACATGTATCATGGAGTTGTACATTATGGAAACAAAGCACTCTTATAGATATAAAGTGAAGTGGCTAGTATATACTTTGTGTGTGCTGTAGATTATTCCAAGTCAGCACTTTTATTGCAATAAGGTTTAGCTGGTACTGTATACCAGAGCTGTAATCTATGCCTTGAGAGACTTTTTTTTGACAAACTGTACATTGCTAATCTCTATAGCCGTTCAGAAGCAAGCTTGTATATATAATATGAATTTATTTAGATAACATTTCAGTGATAATCAATACACTAATATCATTCAGTCTTGTATCATAGTTTCAGTGATATGCCATCAAATGCTTTCAAATCTTATTGTGAAATATCAAACCGTAGACCTATGACATTAAGTTGGTGCACATGGCTATGATGTATGTATTGATGGTGCATACATGTACAAGTTTTTATGATATAGAAAAAGAATTATTCAGTGGTCCGATATAAAAACTGCCATACCAAGTACACATATATTGTACAGGCAATCACACCGTATTGATAAATAACTCCTAAAGAAAAGTACATTCAGTTATTCACTTTATACATCAGCTCAGTAATATAAACATGAATTGCTTTAGGCCAAACAGATAAGAATGTGTGTTTCAACTTTCTGATATATAATCAATAAGTTCATTGTATATGCATGTCAGACTCTAGACAATTTATCAGGACATTTGTATCCAAGATGGATCTATTACTTCATGTAGCCATAAAAATCTTGCAGAGATCTGATGTCTTGATACATTCTTTTGGAACATGACATTCTACAATGTATTTCTTCAATCTTGAACATTTATTTGAATCTATTTTTCTGTAAGCCCAGGGGTTGTCACAAATTACTTCCTACAAAGTCCAGGTGTGTACTGATTACAGGACAACGAAATAGCTTCTGATTATAATTGTTCTGATCATTATCCAGTGTGGATGGGCTTATTAACAGACACAGGCTTATTCTCAGATTACCATTATATTGATAAATGATAAAACAGATGAAAAGCCATTGTTTAAATTATGATATTGATTTATGAATGAAAAAACGAAACTTTACACACACATGTATATTTTGTCATGGTTTTTATGCGATTTCATGTCACTTTCTGGTGATATGTCACTTGATGTTGAAACTAGATGAGGAAAACTCACACACTGAAACATATCAATTTAATACAGTTATTGATTTTATGTTAGATATATGTTTATGTCACTTATAAATATATCCAACAGGTTTCCTAGATGTATATAGATAGCTGCATGTAATGATCAAATCCGATTAATATGCCTCATGAATGAAGCAAGGAAATAGGTTTAAAAAACTGGGTTGATTTCACGGGTTTTGATGGAAAGCTGACCAACAAACAACACAATGATATTAGATGTATATATATTAGGGAAAAGGGAACTCATAGTTGATAGATAGGGTAACAGTTTAACATGTATTATACATATTTGACCTGTTAGAATTATAGAATCACCATTGTAACAATTCATACCACCGACATATTAAGGAAAAGAAAGAATAATTATGAATTTTGAAGCAAATTTATTATTTTGATAAAAGAGTTAAAAACCTGGATCATTTTATATATTTCGACTGAGAATTAATTTGATTGAGAACAATACTGCTTATCTTACATTAGCAAAACTCATTGCCCTAATAGAATGTTTAGAAATTTATTATCTGCATGTAGCAAAAATATCAAATGTATTTACATGATAAGTTCAGCATTGGCAGTGATAAGTACATTTGGTGTTGTGTATTGGAATATGAGACAATTCTTGTAACATTTTTCCATGAATATGTGAACCATAATTTGATATATACAATAATGAATCTGTTCCAGTCTGGATCTTCACCAGGAGATTGAGGCCCTGGAGAGTCAGTTAAGGAGGAGTAACAACCATATCTCACAGATAGAACATGAAATAATAGACAGTAAACAGATGGCAGAGTATGAGGTACTCAAACTCACCGACGAGCTTGCCAAACTCCGTGACCGATACGACAGGTAAAAATCATGCATAGGATATATTATCTGGTACAACGTGCTGCACAAAAGAAGACTCACCTATTTATAAATTTATACTCTGTCCTTTACTTATTCTGTCTGTACAACCATCTGTTCTTCAAAGTATTCACTACCTGCACATTCTGTGTCACCCTAATCTATAGTATGGTCCCTATTTCCCAGTCTGAAGTTTAATTTGTTACTGAACTACTTTCTAATCTGAGACACCTCTTAGTTATGGCCCTTTGTTGACATTATCCATCATATTTTCTTTTGTCCAGAGATTTTTTTTGTATTGCAACCTATATATATATCTATCCAGTTTTGTATTTGTGTACCATTTTGAGATATAATGTTGAAATACACAGTGCTTTCCCTTGTTTTGTCTTCATACAAAAGTACTCAGTAGGAAAGAGACTTAACTACATTTCATACTTTTCAGTTTTTTTATTTTGTATTTTGTTTTTTATCCAGTTTCTCTTAACTTGTTCCATTTCTTTAATTGATTTATGAAATTGTTAGGTTTAATCACATTGTATCATTTGTTCATTTAGATAACGCTTTCAATTCATGATAATCAGTTTCTTCATTTAATGTGTTGCAGGTTGTATGAAAGTCATAAAAGGTTGCAGAAAGTGAACCACGGATTGGAAGATAAACTCTTAAAAGTGGTAAAAATCTGACTTTGCATTTTATTTAACAATATTTCTTCAGTAAGCTGTTGGTCTTTTCATTTAAAACACTGATTCTATTGAGTTCAGTTGACTGCTTGTGTGAATATTTACCTCAATCGCTTTAACACTATTGCTATCAGAGCATGTCCTCTTCTCTTCATCTATGTACTGTAAATCACTATTTGAGCGAGTATTTAATTTCATGAAAGGTAAATGACTATCTTAGTTGTGAATACATGATTTAGAGGGTACCACACTACGAAAGTCATTTACTTACAAGGACAATATCAGCTAAAGTATATTGGTGAGGGATTTGAATTCGTGTACGATGCTGTTCATGAATAAATGCGAAATATATTCCCTTTGAAATAAAAAGATTTACAGTTATAAATTTACATCAGCTATGAATAGAATTAACTGAATTTAGTAAGCTACATAGGTTTTTAGTAAATGTTTTGTTTTGAATAAAATATTATGAAATCAAATTGTTACATAAGCAGAATTTAAAAAAATGCTGACAGAATGGATTTTGACATTTAAGTATTTTGGAAAAATTTAATTAAAAAGAAGAGGAGCAACTCGATTTTTTTAAAAATGTTGTCCTCATCATTTATTTAAAATGGATGGATTTGTGTGAAAGAATTTCTTCAACTAAATAGTGAACGTTTATTCAGATACATACCTTGTATAAGAACATTTGAAAATACCTGTTTAAATGCAGTTAGATACTCAAAAAATAATAGATGTTTTTTGTTACTTTGTAGGTCAATGGGTTTGAAGGGGATAAGATTGGTCTTCAGAAAGAAGTAGCCCTTATGACCTCCAAACTTGTTGAAGCTAAATCTCTCATCTGTGAACTGGAGGAGGAAAATGTGAGTACAGTGCCGCAGGTGGTTATGTATATAACGCTTGTTCAGTTCTATTGTGCAGATTTTATCATTTTTTTTGTGGTTCAGTGTGTTTTATGTCCGAAATTTTGAATTAACCCCAATACCATTTGGCAAGGATTTATTTTTCACTGATATCTTTAATATGGATCAAACAAAAACAAGATGAGAATGCTGACTGTATTGTATCTCAAACTCTCAAAGTGGATGAACAGAAAGGTATAAATATAGCAAAAAATTACATTGGTACTATTGAAAAAGTACAGTGAGAGTAATGTCTTTTTTAAGGATTGGTCTCTTCTGTTTCATGGTCAATCATTTCTATTGTCTCTCATTTCTGTTGATAGCCTTATGGGTAGTCTTTTAGAAACAAGTTACATTCTCCTCAATGTCTCAGTAATATTTTATTTCAGGTTCTTAAAAACATTATTTTTTCTCGGAAATTTGTTGGCTAAACTCTACATTTTAAATTGTCTGTAATTCATAGCAATTCAATTATCATGTTTACTACAAATTTTAATTAAATTTTAAATCCATCCCTAATGGCTGACTTTGTTATATACAATATGATTATGATACATTTCAGGAGCAGACCAGAAAAGACTGTAATTATGCTGTCCAGCTATTGCAGTGTAAACCTTCAAACTTTGTAGCCCACAAGCTAAATACGGTTTGTATCACAACATTTCACTGGGGTGTGGAAATGAAACTCAGGACAAAGTTCACTATTATTTTCATTTTAGTACTCCAACACAAAAACGTACAAAGGCAAAAAACCGTTAACGTATACAGTAAAACACGGATACTTCGAAGTGGATGGGACCAAGTAAAAATTTGACTAATCCTATCTGATGGTTTAACTTAGACATGTTTCTATGAACAGTGACATTGTGCATCAAAGGTTGGTCCTATTTTCCTCAGCTGTTTACTGGATACATGTCTCATAGACAGTAATGAATAAGTAATGAATAAATAAAAATATTTTGTAATTTTAAACACTAACAATATCTTTTATTTAGATAAACAGTTAGTAGTATGAATTTGAAACAAAAAATGTAATGCGAAACACTCGCCATTGAATTGCAGCACACGTGTGGATACACACCCACTTTCATATGCATAACTTAGTGAAATTGATACCTAAAGTGATACAAATATTGTACTAACATTGATATCTGTAAAAGTAACAAGTCCCATTAACAATATTTTAAAATAAAACTCAGTAAGTATGTACTGATGAACATTCTACATTGACATAACATCGATAGCAATGAGCTTACGAGGTGGGGCTCAGAAAATGTGAAGGCTGTGGCAATGTCACTGAAGCATAACTTTACATTGTAAGAGCTTAACCATAAAATAGAGAACAATTTGCTATTTAAAGAAAAATATTTGAAAAAATAGACATTCAAGGTATAAGTCGTTTAGTGTTTGTAGATATTTATCAAACTACATATTATTTGTATACATCTGTCTTTACGTGATGTGACCGTAATTTGCTAATAACTTCTTGTTTAAGAAATTTTAAAGAATGTTGTCAGGAATGTATGTGTGTTAATGTAACCTCACATCACATCATAGTTCTTGAAATCATGAAATGTTTCTTATCTTCAAAATTCTTTCATCATAGCTTCCAATGGAACTTCAGGAAAGAGTCAAAAGTCACATGACAAGAGAAGAAATCATTAATTGTGAGGACGCTCCGCAGAACGAATCAGCGAAATTGATTCGTGTGCCTATGCAGACATTCCCGCCTACAGCAATGGTGTATTCCATTAACAATAGTTCTCAGAAGTCAAACAAAGACATGAACAGAAACTCAACAGATTCAGTGCCAATGAATCTCATAGCCAAGGTCCTCACGCAGCCGGAGTCTAAACGTAAACCACGGCGAATGTACATATGTCTAAGATGTAAACTGGACGTTGTTGTGCATGACAAGGAAGTCCAAGTGTCCATGGGTCGGGAGATTAACAGTTCAAATGGTGGTTCTGGAAGTCTACGAGTCCACAAACTACCTAGTCGGATACGAACAAATTCCACAGAAACAGAAATATGAATTAGAGAGTGCCATCTTGTAAAAATCAATTCAATGACTTTTGTATGTTACAGGAGTTGAAGTCATTAATTTCAAAATTCAGCATAGTTTATTGTATGTTACATAGTTTCTCCTGTCTTGTTTTTACAGCAGCCTTTGACTGCATCAGCTGTGATTATATTAGTTAATATTTCTGTTTTTATGTCCCTCTCCACAGCATTCTTAAAGGACTCATAGATTTACCCATGTCCGTCCCTGACCTCGATCCCGACCCCGACCCCGACCCCGAAGATCTTTTGACAATTTCTTTGCAAGTTAATCAACAATGAAACTTATACACATAGGAGTGAGTTTTTTTTTTCCAATACAAATAACAGTAAATGTTGATACAGATAAATGGCAAAATATGACATCTATATAACAATTACACAGTTTGCTTTCTATAAAGTTTAACAGCAAGCCAGTTGAATGCATTCTCCTTTTTCTCTCTGACTATTGGCATTCACATAATCAATATACAGTCTTTTCTGCATGAAATGGTATTTTGAAAATGAACTATTAACAAGTAAAATTCAATCTTTTCATGTATATGGTCGTTTTTATGTAAAGGATTATTTCAACATATACAATCCTCTAAGTTATAAACAGCTTTGGAGAGTAAATTTACATTTTCTACGAATAAAAAGGATTGATGTATCCACTTTAATATCAAAATACAATACAACGAAATGTAAACTATCGTATTTTCATTGAAAAGCAAAAAGAATTAATTCTGATTGAAAATTTTAATTATCTTTAGTTGCTTAAATTTGAGTGTCCATAGTATCAGAATATTGTATCATTGGTCTTGATTTTGTGGTGTCGTCTTTGACTCAAAAACTGCAGGAAGAGTCCATGGTTGACAATGTGTTGCATTCAAGATCAATGAAATGAAATGGATGAAATTGAATTATTTTTAAAAGTATGGAGCCATTAATCTGAATTTGGATTGTATCTTTAGTGTCATCTCCTCTCTTGTGTTATGGTTTTAGAATGTAAGGCAATAAATCAAGTTAGCCTTTTAAATGTTCACTATATTTTGTCATGCACAATGTATAAGATTATCTAGTGGAAAATTTTCAGATACAAATATCAGAATATTTTGACATTTTTAAAACTATTTGTACCTGCACAGTAGTGATACCAGAGAGTGTTCATGTAATGTTTGATATAAGATGTGTTTTTTGCAATTTGTAAATATATTTCAATGATTAATTTATACATAGTAGGTAGAGTAAAACATGTATAAAGTTGGGCAAGTTATTGACTATTTCAGCCTGGAAAAAGGTAACATGCTAGCACATTCTTTTGTATCAGAGTCTGAATAGGTTTCAGTGCATTTTAAGTATATCAAACATTTCCTAGACGAGTTTGTTCAAGTATTGGGTATATAACTGATATACAGTGCTTCTATTTCTATAAATCAGTCTTTGGCCTAAGTTGATCAGCATGCATTGATTTTTCACTCTACATTTCACCATTTTACCAATTTACAGAACATTTTTCTGAATTATCTGTTTGCCTTAAAAGTGTTTAACTGTATTAGAAAACTTACCTGAATGTTAATTTTCTTTATTTTCTTATTTAGTTTTATCAGATGTTGGGTTTTTTTTTGTTTCATTTTCCACTTGCTAACAGTACTTGTAATTCTTTCACAATCACATCAGAGTGGACTGGAAAAAAACAATTTTCGTCTGCAAAAAGGTGATGTTGATCATGATTATGTAGCAAATCTTCACATCTTATACTGCCATCAGAATTATAATTTACTAACTGAATACTCATTATCTATAACAGTCATGATGAAAAATGGCTTAATAATAGAAAATGTTCATTAATGTAGCTGATGCCATTTCATTTTAAAGTGCTTTAGTTTATATATGAATTAAGTTGATGTGAAATCATAGTCATTTTTGTGTTTTTTTTTTTTTATATATATATATAATTCGCAACATGTACATTTATAATGTTTTATCTTTACTTGGTGTCTCAACTAATGTGGAGTTAAGATTATAATTTATTTATTGTTGTGTTTTTCAGTTGTTTTTGTTGGTTATAAGAATTAATGTATTTGTATTAATTTTGTGATAACCTGTAAAAAATGATAAAGAAAAGAAAAAGAAAGCAAAAATAAAAAAAACATGCAAAACTATTAAACGGTATAAACTACCCTGAATACAGATAACTATATTCCTCAAACTTGTCCTATGAAATTTGGTTATATTTTGCAATTTTGAAATACTCTTATTAAGGTAAATATGTCAGTCTGTCCATTCCAACTCAATTACTGTTTTAACACAACAAATCAAATATCTACAAGCTGCAGCTGATCAATTATCATACAGTGCTTTCTCATCTTAAATTGCATGAAAGATTAACACCAGCAAATGTCAAATGTGCTTGCTTAGTATTGCTGTATAGAAGTTTGAAATTGCAAAATTAGTGTGTTATCATGTCATAAGTCCCCTGGGGGAGACTAGAGTTTTGTGTAGTCTCCATTCATTCCTCCATGGCTCCATGATTTTGTCTGGCCCCAACCTTCTACACAGTTAGTTAGTTACAGGTTGTAATATTTGGATATGGGGTAATCTTGGTGAGATGGTATGTCATGTAAAGTTGGTCACTCTGACCTGTATTTTGACCTTTGACCTAAATCAAAGGAAAAGTTTGTCTGGGTCATGTCTTCTACACTACTAATCACAGGAACTTTGTTCTTGGGATATGGGTTCACCTGAGTGAAACAGTGTAACATATCCAAAGTAGGTCACTCTGACCTATATTTTGACCTGTGACTTACATGTAAGCAAATTCTTGTCTAGGTCTTCTTCACAGCTAATCCTGGAAATGTAATATTTAAGATATGGGTTCACCACAGGTAATCCTGGAAACGTAATATTTAGGATATGGGTTCACCACAGGTAATCCTGGAAACGTAATATTTAGGATATGGGTTCACCTTGATGAGGTGATGTGTGTTCCTGAGGGACTGTAGTTAACTGAATTATCTTCTCTTAATGGTTTTAAGTTGGTCAAGCTTGGGCTTATGTGGGCTTCTGCAGTCTTACTAAAACCGCTAGCTGTGCTTGTTTTGTTTGGTTTGTTTTTTAGTTTGTCTCAAACTTTTGGGGGTTACCTAAAATTAGATATTCTTTAATTTACAAAATCATGACACGAAATTTCTGCAAACCAGTTGGATGTGAAAAAATATTTCTGAAAAATTTGTACATTTTCATCTTTTCCATTATAAATGAAATAAGAGATACCTGTATTACCAATGTGTACCTGTATAAGGGTCAGAATCAGGTTGTTTATATAGTGATATTTTTTCATTATATATTGTTTTATTTTTGTTTTTTTTTTTGTTTGTTTGTTTGTTTTTTTTTCTGGTTTTGAATAGATAGAAAGTAAATAATATAGAATTAACAGTGAACTATGGAACTGTTAGGAATGTTTGATGCATTTTTTCCTGGTGCTAATCTTGCATGATTTACCTGTGCCAATGCTATACATGTTGTGTGTGTTTGATATTCCTTGTGTAGTGTAGACCGGGACAATTCTGATCTACCGGAGTTACTTTCCTTCGTTTTAGTCAGTCTGTCTTTGGTAGAGTGATGAACTTAATAGCTGAGAGGGGCCGATAAAGGACTTAGGCCTGCTAGTTGTAATTTTGTTTTGGACATATAGTCCATGATATTGCTGTTAAGGCGTAAACATTCAATATTATCATTGATCAATTTATCATAATTATTCTGCAGTGGTCGATTGGTTCAGGCGTCTGACTATCCTTACCACTAGCCCTCCACCTCTGCGTCATGGATTCAAGGATTACATGGGGCATTGCTTGGTACTAGCCGCACACCAGTGGTTTTTCTTTATGAATTTCAGTCTTCCTCAACCATTCATACCTGGTACATCCTGAATTGCCCCTTGATGTTAAAAGCAATAATAAACTATTCTAAATTGTGTAATAAGTCGACTGAAAGGCAAATGATATATTAATATAACCTTAAGTAAGCTTAAATCACACACCTGACTTATATATGGTGGTATCTTCACATCTTGTAGTAATATATAGGTATTCCTTTGTTGATATCAAATGTATATCATGTTTTGTAGCAACTTTAAAGGAGTAATGCCATTTCTCATAGATTCCTGCATAAGCTTACAAAACAGGTTGTGTTTCTCCTACCTACGTCATAAATGATCGCCAGATGGGCTATTTAAATATGCTTCTTTAGTCAAGATGATTAAATATAACATCACTTTAATGCAATAAATTCACACTGTTCAAACACATCTAGAAGAATCATTGTACATTGTCATAAAAACAATCTGCATTCTTCTTTTTAGTTTATATGTATATAAAACGTTTTTTCTAAATATGGTGATAATATATGCACATGTTGTTTATTTAAGAAAAAAATCTTACTTATTAGCATATATTGTTGTTGTATTGTTGATGTTATGAGTTTCAAATTTCTGAAAAAATACGTAAAATGTATGCTGTATGACCATGTATAGAAACACACATATATCTATCTATAAATACCTGGTAGCCATTCTAAAGGTTTGTTAGAGTGACATTCTAAAGATTTGTTGGAGTGACATTCTTAAAGTTTGTTGGAGTGACATTCTAAAGGTTTGATGGAGTGGCATTCTTAAAGTCTGTTGGAGTGACATTCTAAAGGTTTGTTGGAGTGACATTCTTAAAGTTTGTTGACATTCTAAAGAGTGACATTCTAAAGATTTGTCTGTTGGAGTGACATTCTTAAGGTTTGTTGGAGTGACATTCTAAAGGTTTGATGGAGTGGCATTCTTAAGGTTTGTTGGAGTGGCATTCTTAAGGTCTGTTGGAGTGGCATTCTTAAAGTCTGTTGGAGTGACATTCTTAAGGTGTGTTGGAGTGACATTCTTAAAGTCTGTTGGAGTGACATTCTAAAGGTTTGATGGAGTGGCATTCTTAAAGTCTGTTGGAGTGGCATTCTTAAAGTCTGTTGGAGTGACATTCTTAAGGTCTGTTGGAGTGGCATTCTTAAAGTCTGTTGGAGTGACATTCTTAAGGTCTGTTGGAGTGACATTCTTAAAGTCTGTTGGAGTGACATTCTTAAAG